TGGGGCTGTGGCTTTGGCTTTCAACTTGCAGGCTCTGGGAGCAAGAGGGGACCTTGAACTTGAGCTGAATTTCCCTGGCTCCTTGCAAGGGACCCCCAGCGAGGAGTGGCTGCAGGGCTGAGGAATCTTCTCCTTGAGTGTTCTGGGCCAAGAGAACCAAGTTCCTGCAGCCGTGAGGATGCGCTGCTATTTTAAGCCACCTGCCAACAGCCTGCCTGCCTCCCCCGCTGCTGCCTTGACATGCGGCTCCTGACAGCGAGCCTGGTGTCGCCCTAGCAGACAGCGCTGGGCGGCTGGATGCAGACACGCACCCCAGCAGGTGACAGCTGTGGGGACCCCTTCCCACCCTTCCCACCCTTCCCACCCAGCCTCCTTGACCTGCCAGCTTTGGCGGGGGCGGAGGAGAACCCAGCATCCTGTCTAACTCAGACACCAGGCAGGCAGACCTGAGTGCAGGTGTCTAGCCTTGCAGATCCTTACAGTGCGACTATGGGAAGGTTAAATACCTCTCTGGCTGGAGCCTCAACACTTGCTCTGTAAAATGGGTACAATGATGAAATAACAGAACCTCCTTCACAGGGTGGTTGGAAGCTCCTTACATGTGTAAGGCACCTAGTACAGTGCCTGGGACCTGGTGGGAGAGAATCTCTATAAACCATGCTCCCTCTCCCTCTCCTTATCCTGCCTCAGTCCTCACCACCTGGCAGAGTAAGTGCTCAATAAATTAAAAACAGGAGGAATGGTCTTTGGTAAGTGACTATTTCTCTCGGGCTCCACTTGCTCTCTATAAAGCATCCATTCAAATGGATGAACCTTCACTCATTCATTCGCCATGAGTCACCGAGGTGGTACTGTGCACAGAGCACTGAGGCTCAGTGAAACAGAGCTGTGCAGGCCTGCTTGACCATGATTGGAGCATGCTGTCAAGGCCCGTTCTGCTCCCATGTGGGTCACGATTAAATTCCAACTTCTAACAGGGGACCAAATCTGATTTCAGAACAGGTAGAACCTAACCCAGTCTCATCGTTGTTCATAAAGCAAGAGCCAGATTTCATGTCCAGCTTGCCAGTGCCAGATCTAGTCAGGGAGGAAAAGGAGGACCCAGGATTATGGCCAAGCAGAGCAGAGGAGCAATCCACGGTGGAAAGCGAGCTGTTGTCCCAGTGGCCTGTAATTGCCAGGGAAACTCCCACCTGGCCAGTTGGGTAAGGCCGGCAATGCCACCAGCAGGTTCCAGAACATGTCACGCATTGTCTGGGGTCAGAGTGTGACATCTCAGGCTGACTAGAGAGGAAGACCAGGAAGCTCAGCCCACAGGGTGGGGTGAGTGAGGGGGCTCTTCTAGGCAAGCCCACACTCTCGGTGCCTGCTTAGTTCTGACCAGGTGCCACCCTGGCCCTGCCCAATTATATTCCTCGGAATCAAGTACACTCTGACATTTCAAAATAGCATCTGCACCAGAAATTCAAACTTCTTGATGACAGTTCATTTTCCCCTGTGATGGATTGGAGTGGGCTTTCTGCAGGCAGCCTGGGCTCACGTCCTGGCTCTGTCCTTACCAGTTGTGTGAATTCAGGTAATTTTATCCAACCTCTTTGTGCATGTTGCTTCATCTGTAAAACAAGGATAATAATCATACCTATCTCCTTGGGTATTTAGGGAGAGAAAATGAGTTGATATATATATAAGATGCTTGGATTAGTACTTGGTACTACAGATACTGGGAAAGATTTGCCCATCTTAATATCATTACTGTTTGAGTTGTTTACTTGTGGCATCACTTAATGAAAAACCAGCCATTAAACCAACGAGGATATATCTTTTTGCAAAAGTTGCACTGGTTTGGGGAAGTAGGATAAAGGAACCTTAGCCCCAAAAGGGAATAAGTTCTGAGACTCTCTCTGGATACCTAAGTCTTCTCTTCCCTGGAGCAGTATTAGACATCCACACACTGGCCATGGTAGACAGTGCTTGCTTCCCCAGCCCTTGACATTGGACTTGTCCATGTGATTTGCTGTGGCCAGTAGGCTATGCTTTATTAGCAGACAGGATGCTGGCAGAGGTTGTGCTTGCTCCTCTGCCAGCAAGTGACCTTCCCCTCCTGCCTGGAGTGAGACAGGTGGGAGCAGATCTCACCCAGACCCACGCCCTGCAGCCCAGTTCAGCTGAGCACAGCGAGGCTCAGCGGGAATGTGACCTTCCTGCAGACCTCTAGCGAGAAAAATAAATATGTTTTATTGACAACTATTGAAATGTGGAAGAAATTTGTTACTCAGCATTATCGCAGAAATAGCTAACTGATATATCTGCCAATGCATTGCCATCAAAGGGTTCTTGTGATGATTAAAAGAGATGACATATGCAGAGTGTTTAGTACGAAGATAGACACACAGTAAGCCTTCAACTGACCTCAGCTATATTTTTTATCACCATCATCATCATCACCGTCAACATCATCACCATCACCATCATCATCATCATCATCATCATCAATCGTCATGATCTCCACTTCCCCCACAGCTGGACCCCTTCGCAGGCGCTCCCCTCCTAACTTGAGGTCAAGTGCTCTCCAGGGGCCCAGTACATTCCCCCACCCACTTCCCAACCTGCCTCTCCTTGATGTTCTGAAGAAATGAGAAAGAAGTGTTAAATTTGTTCTTGGCTACTTTTCCTTGCAACTCCCAGAGGCCCTGCTTACAAACTGAATCAGTTATCAGCTAGTTAGGCTGGCGGTCCCCGGAGGTGCCGCTTGAATACAGATAGGGACCCATGCATTATTCAGTGCGAAGACGGGGAGAAATGAGCAATGCGTCCAAAGCCAGAACAGCAGTGGCAGTAAGGGAATAATTAGCGAGCTGTCACTTGTCCCTGTCACTGTTTCCTCCCTTAACACATGAGGGAAAATAAAAAAATAAAAAAATAATTTTTTTTAAAGGAAGAAGAAAAAAGGCAGGGAAGATCATCTTGCTTCTCAAGGCAGCTGGTAGGTTAAAATGTGACACCAAAGAAGCTTGAAGCAAGAGCTCTGGTTCCGCTCACAAAAGCCATGGCCTGAGGACCCCCCCAATATTTTATTGAACTCCCCTTCCTGCTTGATGATTCATGAGCTCTGCCCCAGCCTTCCATTCAGATTTTCTGCACGTTTCCACAGCACTGGGAATTAATTTCTCCCCTCTAAGGAGGAGGAGGGGTGCTGGGAGGGGGGTGCGGGGAGGAGACATGAGGGGCAGAGCCACCCAGGCCTGCGAAGGTTTGAGGTGACCTTCCAGGAGGAAGCTGGGATGAGGTTGACAAGAGCTGCGCGGCTCATTTGGGGCCTGTGCGATTTGATTATTCATGAGTTTTTGCGCACAGAAAGAAATCATTTTGTTGCGTGACTCCTCACCGTTTCTTGTGGAAGCTATTTTTATTTATCTATTAATGTCTTGTTAGATTTTTTTTTTTTTTTGGTGGTGTGTGCGGGTTTGCCACTTGGGGTGTTGAGCCAGACGTGTGAGGGTCTGAGATGTGCCGATGATGAGGCCAGTTTTCTCAAAGGCATCCCTCCCTTTTCCCTTGGAAAAATAACAAAAATGGTGGTGGGGGTAGGGTTGAGACTATTCGCTGGTTTGATTCATGCCTCTGTTTCCCACTAGCAATGAGCAGGTTACCTTTGGGTAGAATAGTTGTTTTCTGCAGTTCTGTTTTGAAATTCAACACAATGAAATGGGAAACATGCTTTGTATAAGAAGAGTCAGAAAAAAAGGTTGTGGGAGGAAGTAGGGCTTGAGAAAGGATATAGATGACCTTCCAGGACTTTCCAAAATCAGACCCTGATGGGAAGGCAAGGTAGTCCGGGGAGGACTCTCAACTGGTAGAAACAGGTCACCCTTCTTCATAATAATCTCCAGTGTCCTTCACTGCATAATGAGGATCACTTAGGGATGGAAAATTTTGTCCTGGAATCCCAGAGATAAATGGAATTCTTTTTATGCAGCCACTAGCCCTAGCTTGGCAAGTCCATGGCCTGCATACCACTGCTGCCTAACCCAGTGCCCAGGGCAGACATTGTTAATTAATCCCAGAACACACAACCTAGTGCAGTCATCAAAGTCATGCACTAAGGCAGCCACTGTCATGCAGTCAGAGTTGCTACTGGGAATGGAGCCATCAGGACTCTTACCAGCACTCCTAGATATGGGAGAGGGGTAGATCTTTAAGAGGAAAAGACCAAATGCCAAAATTTATGAAGTCAAAACATGGCTCTAAAAAGTCATGAGTTCTAGATTAGGGAGATAAAAGTCTCAACCCCATCAATACAATTGGTAGCTATGTGATCTCAAGTAAGTCTCTCCAGGGCTGGGACCTCAGTTTTGACATCTAGGAAATGAGTATAAATGCTAATTCGTTCAACAGCAGGGAGATCCAACAAGATGCAGCACACTTCACACAGAGCTCTGTCACATGCGAGCTCCTTCAACCTGCCTCACACTTTCAAACTCTAGACTTCTTTTGCACATGTTGTTCCTTTTAGCCTGGAAAATCCCTTCTCCCTTGCAAACACCTTCGTTGTCTGAATTCACTTCCCCTCTGGAGCCTTCCAAAGCCCTCTCAAGTCCCGGTTGGATAAATTACTTCCTACCCACTCACTTCTTCCCTCTACCAGATTTTTATATTTGCTGCCTAATTTCAGAAGTGAATGGTCAATTTAATTTGCTCTCTTCCTCTTTTTTACTAGATTGGAGGTCAGGGGATGGGTTGGGAGATTTTATCACCTCTTGGTCCCCAGTAGTCAGCATAGAGATTGACACATGGAAGGTTTGTTGAATGTAGGAAAGATTGATTTTATCCGTGTCTATGAACAAATCTGGACCCTCTCTAGGCTCGATGTTTGACATTCAACCCAAGCTTAGACTTAGAGGTGACAAGCATGTGTGTAATGGGGTTCTAGAACCCTGGGGACATGATTAGGGCATACCACCCCATCAGCCTCCTCTTTGGCTCTATCACCAGCTCTTGACCTCACAAAGGTGCTGCTGGGGAAGAAAATGGAGACAATATGACACAGGAGAATTACAGACCAGTGAGGTCTAGGGCCTGTAGCAGGAGGGGAAACCAGGTGGGCTGGAAATACAACAGCTGCTACTGATGATCCCAGGTAAAAACCCTCTGGTTTTATATAGGCTGAACTATATCCCCCCAAAATATGAAGTCCAATCCTCTGGAACCCATAACTGTTACCTTGTATGCAAATGTGTAAATGTTATTTTGTTTAAATAAAAAGATTTTTGCAGCTGTGATTGAATTAAGGGTCTTGTGATGGGGAGATGGCTCTGTATTAGTTGGGTGACCTTTATGCAAGAGTCAGGGGAGACTACATGCACAGAAGCAGAGGGACCATGGAGGCAGAGGCTGGAGTGATGCAGCCACAAACCAAGGGATTCCAGCAGCCACCAAGAACTGAAAGAGGCAAGAACAATCCTCCCTGACAGCCTCTTCAGGCAATGCCGACTGCCAACACCTTGATTTTGGTTCAGTGATACTAATTTCAGATTTCTGGCCTCCAGAATTGTAAATTAAAACATTTATGTTATTTTAGTCCTCCGAGTTTGTGGTCATTTTGTATAGTAGCCACAGGAAAATTTTTGAAAATAGGATGAAAATAGGGTGATGACAGAGGAAATGGGAAGGGAACCTTGCTCGTCTGGAGAATAACTCCTTTCTCCCCAAGATGCACAGAGCCTCCCACCCTGACACATCCCTTCCCCACAGCTTCCTCATCTCCCAGGCCACTCCTCCCATACAGATGCTCCTTAAAGTGGCACATAGGTGCAGTCATCTTACTTCCCCACCATCTCCCCTTTTTCCCTCTGTCCTTCCAGCCACCAGACTCAGTTAAGGAGAGACTGTCCCTGCAGCCCCAAGGTCTGCTCAGGCTTCACATGTGGCCAAAACAAATGCCCTCAGCAGAAGGAGGATGAGGCAGACCAAGCAGGAACCAGCATGATGAGAAAAGAACTAAGATCCAGCAGCTGGGGTTCAAGAGCTTGGATATAACTGGCAGAGGCTTGGCACAGACAGGACTCAACAGATGGTGAGCACAGTCTTCCCCGTGGAACCTGGAAGGGCCTGAGATGATGAGGGGTGAAGCACAGAAGTGACCGGTTCTCACCCAGGGTATTAGTCCTGGGTGTCACACAATTCACATTCAATTGGCATTTACTGGCATCACATATGACCAGCCCTGATTGGGACACCATGGGGTAATTCCAGGTATCCCTGTAATTAAACTGATCCTTTAAAAAAAATTAATGTAATAGATTTAAAAAATAGACATATAATTTAATTATAGTAAAGTGCATCTATATGAAAAGAACAACTCAGTTAAGTTTTGTGTGTGCCTACCTACCACTCAGGTCTAGATGGAGCCTACATCCAAGGCCTGGGTAGCTCCTCCCACCTATTGTGTCCCTTCTTGTTAATACCTGCCTCAATGTAACCACAATCCTCACTTCCATCTCATCTATCTCATTTCTGAGCCTCATGTGAGTAGATCTATCCAGCATTTATTCCATGGCATCAAAATTCACTTAATGCTACATCTTCTCATGTTGTTTCATGGACTATGAGTTTTCCTTTTTCCTCACTGACTAATATTCCACTTGCCATTGCTCTATTGATGGACACTTGAATTGTTTAAGAAATGCCATGAAATTCTATCTTGTGTCTTTGAAAGTAACAAGCATTCCTTTCTATGGTTCATATATCCAGGGCTGGAATTGCTGGACTAATCCCTAACCTGGGGATCCAAATTCCTTCCTTAATCAGACATAGAGAAGGATAGTAACCATATAATTCCCAATAACTCCTATCGTCCTATATATAAATATAATAAACAAGGTTAAATCAGGCATTGTTACTCAGAGTATAAAACTAGGGCATATTAAGGATCACAGAGCAAATATATGCAACCTTAGTTTTGGGTTTCTGTCTTTAGACTCCAAGACCAGTTTCTTTCAAGTATCCCAGGTTGTTTTTTTCCCCAGATTTGGCACTTTCTTTCCTCTTGTATCCTGCTTTTGATCTTGTGTACTAGGTGATCATTTGAGCAGATGACCAACTATTTCTGGTTTTCTTCCCTTCCAGAGCATGTAGAGTTGTATTTCTATCCCTGTGTTGGGGTAGAGACTTGTGAAGAATCCCGGTCAATGAATTGGGAGCAGCATTGATTCTGGGTGGATTTAATAACCAATACAAGACCCTTTATCACTCACTTGTCCCTTTGGCACTCTGACCAGCAACTTCTGAGAAGGTGACCAAGGTTACCCAATGGGTGACCAAGGTGACCAGGCTAGCAAAATTACTGCATTGAGTAGAATTTCTTTCCAAATTGAGATGAACATGCTGCATGAGCAAGAAACAAGTTTCTGCTGTATCAAGACTTTGAAATTTGGGGACTGCTGTTACTGTAATGTAACATCTTCTATCCTGACTGATACATACAAGATTCATGCTTCCCCTGAATTCCAGATGAAGTGACCAATACTGGGTGTGCTGTGCTATTGAGAACTTCTTCAGCTGTGCTTCTTGTGAACAAGTAGGAACCAAACCACCATGGGAAATTGGAAAAAGAGGGCCTAAAGTTCTGATTCCCAATGCCAATAACTGCTAAATACACCTGACAATTTAAGTTTAAAATTGATTACAATTTTAAAAAATAAAAATTCCCCTTCTACTTTACACTAATCACTATTCAGTTCTCAGTGGTCACATGAAGTTAGTACTTTTCATGCTACCATATTGGACACCAGTAATGTGGAAAATTTCCATTGCTGCAGAAAAGTTCTCTTGGAGAGCACTGGTCTAGCATCTTAGAAACTGAACCAAGAAACCCTGTGCCAAGGAACAATAGACTCTTAGAAAGAAAGGATACATCATCTTCAGATGCTGGCATCTTTGCTGTATGGACCCCCAAGATCTTCTTGGCCATGAAATGGAACAGTGCAACAAACAGCGCTTCTCCTATCAGCTTGAAGGGACAAATACCACTGTCAAACCAAGGTCACCTACAGGAGGGACTTGGGCATCACAGGAAAATCCAAACCTGGATAAAGAGGGAAGCAAGTAACCAAGTATCTCACCTTTGGGTCCACCAGGGCCAACATATGTGGCCATCCAAGATCATAGTGCTTAGAGCTGGTCAGGATGCCTTACACAAGCTTTGGATGAGCAATTCAGGAGGAAGAGAAGTTTCTCACACAAGTGGAACATGAATGAGGGCAAGGGCAAGTTCATTAAAAGAGGTGCCTGCAGCTACCCAATCACTAGTGGCCTCAAGAGAATCACTCCACTACCGTGCACCTCAATTGCCTCATCTATAAAATGGCAAGAATAGCTTATATTTATAGAACTTTTATTCTTCCTGGGTGACTTGCCAAGGATGTCATATGCTTTATCTCCTTTTTATCCGCACAATGAGCTCAGGAAGCAGGTTCTAAAATTACTTTTCTCTGTGTCTCTCTCCCCACCCCCCGTCCTTGTTTTGAATGATTGGCCCTGTCTCCCCAAGTTGAATGCGAGCTGCTAGAAGGCAGCTCATCCCTTAATCCAGAGCACCTGGTAGAGAGCAGATAACACCAGACAGTTTCTTCTTCTCACCTTTGGGGTGAAAGTGAGACACACTGAAGGTGAGTCTGAGGGAGGTGTCAACATTCTCCTCCCAACACAGACATCTTTACTTCCCAGTATTTCCAATTCGTTTCTTCCTCAGGGAACATGGGGAGATTTCTTGAAGTTGGGCATGGTCACACAGGCAGATGGAAAGAGTGTCACTTCTGGCAGGAGAAATTAAGAGCCGGCACGTTATTCTCTGCTTTCTTTGCCCAGTGCAGGAATGTGTGTTGGGAGGTGCTATAATATTGAAGCTTTCTGGGCTGGTGCCTTGCTGTGCAAAAGATAGTTGCCCCAGAGGGTCATTCAAACTCACCATGAACTTTGTGCGCACAAGAAATAAGCATTTCCTTTGTTAGGTCACTAAGTGAGGGGGGTTATTTTGTTACTACACCATAACCTGACCAATCCTATCTAAAATAACCAACTTTAAGTCTCACCCATCCTTCAAGAAGCCCACGGTGCTCCTGCCCAACACACCGCATCTCTGGTGTGGAGTGGCTGATGGTTGTGGCAGATGGAGGCCGCAGGTGGTCTGGGCTGGGCCAGTTAGTGACTCCTACACAGCCTAGCTCACTGGGAAGGATACTGGTTCTCTTGATCTCCTTAGAGGCAGCTGCTTTAAGGTAAGCCCTTGCACATCGAAAGTTCCTGAGACAAGCACTGTTGTTTGACATTTTTCCATGTATCAATACTTTATGTGGATAGTCAAGATGTTTCCCAGAGACCATGTCTATTTTTGAAGCTATCTCCCCACTCCTAGGGAATGAAGGGAGTTGAAAGTTTTCTCCTTGGCAAAGTGTCTGGGTTATGTGGTGGTTCTGTCCCAGCATTCCCCCTGTCCCAGAAGGCCCTGATTTCTGTGTGGGGATGCATAGGCTTTCATGAGTAGGGACAGGTTCATGTGACTTAGGAGAAGCCTATCAGCCTGGCCCCCTCCCTCCGAGGGGAGATTGGTTCAGAGGTAGACACGGGAACTGAGCTATCCAACAGAGTGAGTCTCAGTGCTTTCGGGACAATGCCAGATACTCCCTGTTCTCCTTGCTGGGTAGGAAGAAAAAAACATGCTATTAGGAGACCTGCAAAGAACTGGCAGCAATCAGATTTATAATTAAGCTGACGCTGGTGAGATACAGATGGGAGAAAATAGTGCTGTCCTAGGGAGTGACTTCATTGAGCTGCTGGATCAAGCTTTACCTGTTAGCTGAAACCTCTAACTTTTGTGTTACATGAACTCAGGACCCTTCATTTTTAAGCTCACAGTATAAATGTTCCTAACTGGCATACCACATAGAAATCAGGGCATTAGACCTTCTGTCAATCCCCTGTCCCCTAGTATCCTAAAGTTTAAGACTCCAGAGCCATGAGGTGATCCTGTGTGAGGCCTGGAAAGGTGAGAGATATGTTCAAGTTCACCCAAAAAACCCCTAGAAGTTCCTGACTCCTGACTCTCTACCCAGAAGGGAACCAGGTTGGTTGCTGGATCTGCACACATGTTCTGAGAGAAAGAGAGAGCAGCCCCTTTTTCAGGAGGAAGTACTGGTTGTCTGTAGCATAAATTCGTGTAAATTTATTTAGAGTAACTCTGCATGGTATGGGCAGCTATAAACAAAGTGAGGAGGAAAATTCATCTTAGTCCTATCATTTTGCCTCTGATAGGGTGCTCTTCAAGATGTCTGTGAAACTCTCACTATCCTTTTTTCCCTCCAATTGGTCCTTAAGTTCCAGCTGATAATACTTAAAAATCCATCCCATATCTAGAATCAGCCCCTTTCTCTCCACCCTGCACCAGAACCTAGGTTCTAGCTCATTTGCTCTCCAGGGAGTTGTAACTCTACCCTGGCCCAGGCTCCCTGTCTCCAAATGTGCTCTCTGCATGGCAGAGCTTCCTAAGGTGCCAACTGAATGTGCCAGATTTTTAATTTTTATTTTTTTAAGATTTAATTATTTATGCATACAAGAACTGGGGTATAGGCCAGAGGTATGGGGATGAGGGGTGAGAGGACTCACCAGAGACAGAGTGGGGAGTAGAACAGGCGGATCTACTGAAATACACTGCTGAGGGGAGTAGTGGGTGAGACAGGAGAGGTCTGCTGCACCATGTGGGTAGCTCCCTGGCCAGGGATTGAACTCATGCTGCAGTGGCTGCTGATAGCTTTGTAGTGCTGAAACTTAACCCCTTGTGCCACCAGGGAGGCTCTTGGGCCAGGTTTTTTATTAAGCCCTTCCAATGATTGCCTGTCATTCCCAGAGTGAAACCCATTTTCTACAGCCTAATACATGAGGGCTTTGAGGTCTACTTGAACAGATTTAACACCTCCACTCTGCCAGTCCCCTAGCTCTCCTACTCCAGCTGCACACCCTCCTCTTTTGTCGAATCTCTGATTGCATCCTCAGGCTACAGGACTTTGGGTACACTGCTGCCACCACTGCACATTCTGTTTCCCTCTGGCACCCAAAAAAACTTCCCTCTCCTGTAAACCCAGGTCAGAATTTGTGTCTTCTGTATAATTGCTCTTTCTTCCATTGTCCCTTTTATTAATGCAATAATCACAATAATAGTAAGAGCATTTATAAAGTACTCACTGTGGCCCAGCCCTATGCTAAGCACCTCATTTGGCTACCTCTTAAAACTCTCCCAACATCTCTGTCAGACAGGTGTCATTGCTATTACTACTCCCTCCTCCCACTTCATTGACAAGAAAACCAAGACTTGTTTGCTCATGGTTTCTTTCTTTTTTTTTTTTTCAAAGATTTATTTTTATTTATTTATACTAGCACTGGGTACAGTCAGAAGCGTGGGAGGGTGAGAGAATTCACCAGAGCCAGAGCAGGGAACAGAGCAGGCAGAAGGACCGAAGTACACTGCTGAGGGGAGCAGCGGGCGGCAGGAGAGGTCTGGTGCCATGTGGGACCCTCCTCCGGTGGCCGGGGAGCAGCCGGAGATCGAACCAGCGCTGCAGAGTCCGCGGGCAGCTTCGCAACCCAGTGCTCAACCGCTGCGCCACTGGGGAGGCCCTGCTCATGGTTTCTCAACTAGAGAAAGCAGGCCAACCAAATCCCATGCCCCAATCTATTCCACCACTCCTCATGTATACTACACAAATGATCGATTTAAGAAGTACTTGTTTGTCAACTTCATCTAATCAAGGATTTTGTGAGGCCCATTTCAGTGTGTTAGTCATCTTTATAAGCCTAGAACTCAGTTTGAAAGCGTGTACTGATAAGCATACATTGGATGGAGGGATGGATGGGTGGGTGGATGGATGGGCAGGTGGATAGATGGAGTGATGAGTGGATGGATGGATGCGTCATTAGGTGGATGGGTAGGTAGCTGGGTAGGTAGCTGGGTAGATGAATGAAGGGATGGGCAGTGGGGAGCATGGAAGAAAGGGTGTGCGAATGGTTCAAAGCATGGCGGGATCATTGGATGGGTGGTTCGAAGAATGGATAAGCAGGTAAATGGTCAGAAAGGTAAAACAACAAACCCCAGTAAACTCCATAGTCAATTCCAATATTTCCTTGATCCAGGTGCTTCATTATTCACTTATGGGAATAATCCAGGGACTGCAGCGCCACTCTGGCCGAGCTGGCTTCTCCCCTTGCTCCACCTGCACCCCTGCTCACGGCAGAGGAAGGAACACACAGCTTTGGAAAAGTTGTCCTAGCAGCTCCCCTCCAGGCAGTGGCTGGGCCTAGCACACTGGGTGTTTGCATACACTGGAGCGCTGGATTCCCTGAAGGTGGAACTGAAGCAAGGGAGTCGGGCCTGGCATTGCTGACTCCCACCCGGGGAAGCCGGCGCCCCACGCCACGCAGCGCTCCGCAGCCCTGCCCAACCACCGTTGTCTGCTTTCTAAATAAACCCTGAGACGGAGCCGTGTGGGGTTATAAATCAGCCGGAAATCAAATGCTAACATGTAAATAAATTGCAAATCAGCTGAGAAATTGGTTTCATTTTGAGACGATAAAGCACATTTCTCCTGCGCTGATTTTGTAAGGCGCCCCTTAAGAATTGTAATATTTCTGTGTGGTAATGATAAACATTAGTGAGTTGCTTTAGAAATGAAAAAATAGACAGCCTCTGGGGATTTGAAAAACATATGCACTTCAAATTTGAAAATCCAATTTAACTGTCCATTATAAGGAGAATAAAAAGGTAAGGATAGGATAATTTTGCAGTTACACAGCATTTGACTAAATCTGATTCCGCGATGACAGGCACACTTTAAAAGCTACAAGTCTGAATGCGAGGAGACAGCAAATCATTTATTTATGATTGTAATCTAGCTCCTGTCTAACAAGTTAGCAACTGCGAGGCTTGCTCCCTGGCTGCGGACGGCGTGTGTACACTTGTCAGTGAGCACTCTTAAAAACACTTCTTGTGGAATTTCTGGGTTTGGGAGGAAAAAAAAAATAATAAAAGAGAGAGAAGACAAAAGAGATAATCCTTGTCCAATTTACCAAACAGGCAGGTGCCTAAATTGTGAAAGTTTTGGAAGAAACATCTTTTTTTTCTCCTTAATTTTTATTGAAAGCAACTATGGAAAATGTGTGTGCGTGTGTGTGCAAGCATGTAGGCACACCTACATGCTCATGCGCTTAAAGAAGGCGCTGAACACACAGGCACCCTTGACCGGAAGAGACTGTCTACAGCTGGAAAAGTTCATGTTGCAAACTTCAGCAGTCGGTTTTCCTGAGGAATGTTGGCTCGTCTTCAGTCTGTTGTCAGCCTCTCCCTGGTGACGTCCTTCTGCCCTCACCCCCGTACCTATGGGAGTCCTGCTACTGCAGTTAACTTGCAAGCTTGTTTTCTCAAAATATGCCAGGGTTTCCACAGAAACATACTTGGAAAGCGCTGGAAGCCTGATATAGAGGAGGAGGTCAGAGAGACTAAAGCAAACACCGCCTTGAGGCCTCCACACAATGGCTCCCGAAATCCCGGCGCCACCACAAAATAGAGTCATCAGCCATATGTGGCTCTTTCCCAGGCTGAGCACTGGGCTGGGCCACTGACATGCCTGAGGCCTGGGAAGCCCAAAGCACTGTGAGAGAACTCCAATTTCGTGCCCGTTTCACAGATGGAGACACTGAGGCACGTGTGTAGAAGACTTTAAATTCATCCTTCACCCCTGTCTTATTTGTAACCACATTTATTTATTTATTTATTTAGTCAAGCAAATATCGAGCACCTAGTTTATGCCAGATGCCACTCTAGGTGGTAGCAAGACAGTGTGGGGAACAGACAACATCCTGCCCTTGCAGACCTCAGAGTGAGCAGAGGAAAATAAGAAAAGACAAAAGATATGATAGAGTTCCAATTAATAAATGCTACGAAGGAAAGCAAATTGGAGATACTTGTAAGTATGATTAGGTGAAGGATGATGGCTCTAGAGAAGGGGTTAGGAAGGGATCTCCATGGAGGTGGGTGTTCCCAGGAGACTTAATGACCAGAAAGGCAGGTGCAGATCCCTGGGCAGGAAGGGCATTAGGGTAAAGGAAAGAGCAAGAGCCCTGAGGTGGGGATAGGCTCAGTTTCTTCAAGAAATAGAGTGCAGGGGCCTCCCTGGTGGTGCAAGGGGTAAGGCGTCAGCACTATGAAGCTGTCCACAGCTACTACAGCACAAGTTTGATCTCCAGCCAGGGAGCTACACACATAGTGCAGCAGACTTCTCCTACCTTTGTCCGCTGCTCCCCTCAGCAGTGTATTTCAGTCAGTCTGCTTGTTCCGCTCCCCACTCTGTCTCCTCTCACCCCCGCACCTCTGGCCTGTACCCCAGCTCTTGTATGCATAAATAATTAAACCTTAAAAAAAAAAGAAATAGAGTCCAGGACACTCCAGGGGACAAGGTGGTGGGGTGCTATGGAAGCCACTAGAGAGTTTCAAGCCAAGGAATAGAAGGATCTGATTTGGACTTTATAATCTGCCCCTGCAGGAGACTTGCACCAGGCATTGAGTCAAATGGTACCCATAATCAGTGTAATAGATTGTTCTGAGTAATATCAGAGTGTGGCAGACCCAGCTCCCATCACCAAAGTTGAATTTTCTCTTCTGTGTCTGGCCCAAGGCACCCAATTCAGCGCTGTGGAATGATGGCAGGGTTTATTCCACTCTTCTGAAGGTAAACTCATATTTACCAAGATGACATTCAATCACTGAATAGGAGAGGGAGGGAGCTGGAAAAGGCAAGTTACTTCTTGTCCTTGCAAATGAGTACACATGGAAGAAAAACTCCAGTGGGTAGGTAGAGACTGAGGGTTACCTGCAGGCTCCATGTTGCAGGCATGTGATTTCTTTCAAGGGGCCCAACAATTAAAACCAGATATGGAAATATCCCTTGCAAGTGTCTTTCAGAAAGCAGAAGGACTTTCAAGCAGGACCTCCTCTGGAAGCATTCAAAAATCACTAAAAACATGGTCATGCCAGAAATCGTGATTATTCCAACTATTATTTGCAACAGTAATAATAAAACCAAGATTTATTGAAGCCCCTGCTTTGTGGCAGGCCCTGAACCAGGGCTCTACTGACAGCATCTATAATTATTACAACAGCCTTCTTGCGTTGCTGTTTTTATTATCCTGAATTCAAAGCTCATAAACGGAGTTCAGCAAGGTTGGGAACCGGTTAAAGATCACACAGGCCCCCAACAGTGGACTCGGGGTGCAAACACAGCCTCCCGGCTCCCAACCTCCTTTCTTTCCATGATGCTTGCTCACGTCCCTCCTCCTGACAAGGCCCCCAGCTTTTGACACCTTCAAAGATGCATTGCTATAAATATATGTACAGTTGTTGAGAACATCTGGCAGCCCATCATACAACAAAATCTCTCTCTCTCAGGTTGTTGTTGTTGTAAATATCAGTTAGTGACCCATTCGAATCTGTAGGATCTGGTTGTGATTTTAGCTGTGCTGGTCTCTGCTTGTCACCCAGGAAGTTTACGCGAGATTTGATCAGAATTTCACGAAACCAGGCAGGGCTTGTGTGGAGCTGTCAGATGAAATAATTTGTCAGTGATGATTGTGTGAATTCGTAAATATTTATGAATTCACAAGTTATAAATGTGCAGCTTTCGGGAGGGTGGAATTCGATGCTCACCAAGTCACAGATTACAATGAATATTTACAGAAACCCCAATCTGCTAATATTAGTTCTTTGTGCTTACGAAAATGCTTTTCTTGGGATTGTAACCCTTTCAGGATAAAGTGTCTAAGGGAAAAAAAGAATGGCTAAAGGGGTCACCCCCCATAAAGATCATACAATCATGATACAAGGCGCTTATAGAAAGTTCATGATTCTCCCCCATGTCCACGTACCATGATGTCTCTCGCCAACCATTCTAAAGCTGTTCGTAGAATCGGTTTTGAGCTGAATTGAATTGAAAAAGCTAAAGATGGCAGGTGGTCAAAAGACCAATTTTTTTTTTCTTTTGATGAGTTGAGTGACCTGACTCTTTGGGTGCCTTGAGCAAGTTCTGGATCCCTAGGAATCTGCTTCTACAAAGGGTAGCCGTCTGCAGATTTAGTCACAGGCATAATCACCTTGAAGACACTTCCGATAAACACCATTGTCAGGAAAGTACTGAGTCTGAATCCTGTTCTCCCTTTGTTAAAAAATATTAATAAGCCTTGGGGAGGTTTTAAAGACAAAGTAACGGCAAGTTGAGACTTTCTCCTTGATGAAGTCAGGAGAAAATGAAAGCAAAATCAAATGGTAGGAGATTTTTTCTGTTCATGATAGGCTGCACGCACAGCATAGTGGGTAGGATGGAGACCCCGGGACAGCTACTTGTGGTTCACCAGCTATGTATGACCTTGACTAAGGACTTAACTCTCTGTGCCTCAGTTACTACATCTGTGAAATGGGGAGCATAGCAGTACCTTCTTTGAAGATTTGTTCCCACCAGATGAAATGAGCTAATGTCTGGAAAGCACCAGAACTGGCAGATGATAATTGTCCTCTCTGTGTTTGTTGAACCAGTATAACAATGGGAACTTAAATTCATCCGGAGTCCTGTGTCAAGCCTGATGAGGAAGCAAGAAGAGCCAGGGAGGCTTCAGCCTTGCCTGTGTAATCTCATTGAATGGGGATGACCCTGGCCAGTCTCTTCCATCATCTGGAAGGAGGACTCAGAAGAAAGAGTCTAGATGATCTCAAGGAACCTCTATGTTTAGGGTCTGCCAGAAGCCTACGGCCAGAGGCCGGATGGTGACACCCTTCCACTTACAGTGCACAGTAGGACTGTTCAGGAAACTTCCTAGAATAGGACTCGCAGGGAGTTGCCGACTCACATCCCACCTCCAGCTTTTTAACTCCCCCGTTGTACCTGCAAACTCTAGCTCAATGCTCTGCTCTTGGGGAGACAGCACTGAAGAAACAAAGACTTAATCATGGCCTGTAATGAAACTTTCCAAAAGACAGCTGTGGTTTTGTGGACAACCAGCTATTTTCCAAACTGAAATTTTCCTGTATCTCCAAATGATGTTGTTCTGCATCCTTTGGACAGTTATAGGACCTTGAGCCTCAGTCTCCCCATTCACGAAATGGGGGAAATACATATTGGTATCTAGCATTCTTCTCCTATGGATAAAACTAGGGCCCATTTGTCTCCTGCAAGCGCTGTGCTGCTGAGCAGCCATCTTTCCCACACGCACAGCCTGCACACATGGTAGGCGTGCCTGACACTCCATTGAGGGAACGTAAACACCCACAGGGCTCTGTCTCAGAGCCGAGCACCTCTGGAGAAGATCTATCCAAAGGCATCGCGGGGAGGGGAGAAACATCAAGATCGACTCCTTCCAGGAGCAAGGGCTGGAGCATCCAGGGGAAGATAGGAACAGGCATAAACTGACCATCTTTTGTCCTACAAAAATATAAAGAAAGATTATTATTAATTAAATCACCTCTGAAATACTTAGCATGCTTTCTTTTTCCCTTGCCATTCAACTCTCCTCATTTCTTGGTTATGATTGCCCTCATTTTATAGACAGAGAAACTGAGGCACAAGGTCCCTCCCAGGTTAAGAAAAAGCAAAGCCACCCAGATCCTGCAAGACTAACGGCCCATGACCGTGCACCCACCTGGACTCTTTCTACCTCCTTCCTGATACATACTATGCCAGGCAAACTCCCAAGCAGTTTATAGGTACTGTCTTATTTTATCTTTAGACTCCTAGGAGGTGGGTACTTTCATTCCCTTTAGTTAGTGCAAGTGGCAGCTGAGGTTCAGAGATATTAATTAAGTAACAAAAGGACACACAATAGGAAAGTGAGGAAGCAGGATTCAAACTAGCAGACTGAATCTGGTCCCTGTGCTCCTGAGACAACATTAGCAGCGAGTGTAGCCAGAGCCGTAACTCGTCAAAGGTGGGAGCTGCTCTGCCATCACACCTGCATCCAGCACACGCCTGGTAGAGAGCACGTACTTCACAAATATTTGTCAAAGGAACTTTTAGAAAATGCACCAGTCTCTTGATCCTTAAAAATCTCAACTTATAAACAGATATGTCAGGGAGCAATTATTCACATTACTCAAGATGTCTTCATTTTATAAAAAGGATTTACATCAGAGTTCCTTTAAATAGCAAGTCCCCCAGTGCATTTAAAAATACGATTCAATTTATAGCTCGGGATTACACACATGCTTTCAGAAGCCCTCACTTGAGTAAAGGAAGCCAGTATGAACGTCATTCATTCATCTAGGTTTTCAATAAGCAATTATTGAGCACCTGCTGAACACCAGGTACTGTGTTAAGGAGGTGGGGACTCAGAGGCAAACACTATGGCCCTAGTCTTCTGGGGACACCAAGTCCAGAGAGGCCTATTCTGGTAGGCTAGTCAAAGAAATAAACAGATGGATTTTCATATTTAGGAATGGAATGATGCTTAGAGAAAACAAAGAAAGGAGCTCACTCTCTCCTCTCCAGGTATGCTGGGTAAGAAGAGACTTTCCTGAAGAAGGGCCTTATGACCTGGGTCTTGTGAGATGAATAGGAGTTCACCACTTAGAAATTCTCCCATTTTGAAAAATTTTCAAGATTAAAATACTAAATAGATAGATATTTAATATTAATCAAATTCCACAAGTAGTAGCATTTCTAGGCAAGTGTGGTTATATTTCATATTCATGACACACCTGGAACTTTTGCAAATATGTCAGATATTTTCTATTGATTCTCAAAACAATATGGTCTTTTGCAAATATGTCAGATATTTTCTATTGATTCTCAAAACAATATGGTCAGATGAGAATGATCTGTATTTTATTTATTTTATTATTAGCTTATTTTTATTTTATTTAAAATTAAAGCATGCATACTACAAAAAATACACACAAGCAATACATCAATCATTATGATCTGTCATTCCCACTGCCAACATATCCAAAGTTAATAGCTCAACCTATCTATGTCTTTTGAGAATTTCCTTTTGTTTGCTTGGGAAAAAAAAATATTTTGCGGCTTCATGATTTGCAACCAGCTCTTTAGAAAATATGATACAACCCAGAGAGAATATCTGTCCATGTCTTTTGACAGTTTTCAACCACAAGGTTTTAAATGGCTTTCTGCTTCACTATTTATGTCTATGTTTTATCTAATCAGTCCCCTAGTATTGGGCAGCCAGTTTGTTTCCTAATATAATCAGTGCTGTGTTGAAAATGCTCATGGCCACATCTTTGCTGAGTATGTTCCTGTTTGCTCTCTCCCACTGGTCCACCCCACCAAGTAATGTCAGTGGAGAAAAGGACAGACAAATGGTAAGACTCTGAAGGCAGGAGGTGTGGTCCCCATTTTACAAGAGAAAAAACTAGTCTAAGCCTCAAGAGCTTAGTGAAGCCTTCTGCCCATCACTCACAAACTTTGACCCTCCTCAGGTCCACCTGCGCCTCCCAGGTGTTCTATCTTCAGAGGAAAACCAACCCTATCTCCCCAGGTATCCTATTGATTCTCAAAACAATATGGTCAGATGAGAATGGCCTGTAATTTTATTTATTTTATTATCTTATTTTTTATTTTATTTAAAAAGTAAAGCATGCACACTATAAACAAAATACACACGAGCAGAGAGGGAGGATTGGGCAGAGAGAAAAGGACACCTGAATTGATGAGGAGTGATAGTTTCCTTTCCATTCTGAGTCTGTTTAAGGGCCAGAGGAGGTAGAGAAAGCCTCATTTGTCCAAATGGAGGCAAGTTGTCCACTGAGCAGCCCCTTCCCCCCACCGCACCTGGAGTCTCCTGGCGATTGCAGGGTTGTCACCATTGGGCCCCTTGTCAGACTCAAAAGCTGCTCTGCTCAGGCGATCAGACAGAGCACTGCTCACCAGGCCTCTGCAGATGGGAGCTGGGAGGAGGCAGCTGACGGCAGAAGGCTCAGTCTCCAACAACACCTGAGGCAGTGGGGCCACACTCCCATCCTAGACTTCAGTTTTCTCATCTGTGGAACAAGGAACGGAAGCTAAGTGTGGTGCGCAGTGCCCCGGAAGTCTAGAGGTCTGGCTCTTAGGGATGAGTCCTAGCCCCAACTGGGAAATCTCAGGAAAGCAGCTTAACCTGTCTGAGCCTCTTGCACATCAGCAGAGACTTGAGTACCACCCCCCACCCCCATCCCAGATGAACACTGCTCCTGCTGCTGGGGGTGCAGAGGTGCCTTCAACAGCACAGATCCCTGCTCCCCAGGAGCTCCCGCCCCAGTTATGGAGAAGGACAATAAACAGCCAGCCACTGCACAAACGACAAGGCAAGGTCACTGTCAACAGAAGAAGTACTCAGAAGAACCAACACCCAGCAGGTGATGGGAAATGACTGGGGGCGGTGAGCATAGCTTTGGAGAGTGGTTTCCCTGAGGTCACGGTGTTTGAGCTGGAACTCTGATCCACGGCAGGGCATCCCAAGGGGATGGCCCGCCACAGATCCCCCTCCTGGAGACACAATGGAATCAACCTGGGAGCTTGCACCAGCTCACACAGGTCCAACAGGGGACATCTGATGTAATTGGTCTGGGACAGGCCCTAGGTATCATCAGCATTTTAAAATGTTCTCCAGGGCCTCCCCAGTGGCGCAGCGGTTGAGCGCTGGGTTGCGAAGTTGCCTGCAGCCTCTGCAGCACAGGTTCGATTCCTGGCTGCTCCCCAGCCACCGGAGGAGGGTCCCACATGTCGCGCAGACCTCTCCTGCCACACCCACTGCTCCCCTCAGCAGTGTACTTCGGTCCTTCTGCCTGCTCTGCTCCCTGCTCTGGCTCTGGTGAGTTTTCTCACCCTCCCGCGCTTCTGACTGTACACAGTGCTTGTATAAATAAATAAATCTTTTAAAATAAATAAATAAATAAAATGCTCTCCAGAAGGTTCTAATGTGCATCCAGGGGTTTCAGTTCGAGGACATTTCAGACAAGGGAAGAAGCAGATGCCAAGATGAGAGCTAAGGGAATGAGAACGACTTTGTCCTGTTTGGGAAGAGGAAGGACAGTGGCAGGGCTGATGCTCATGAGGCCAGGGAGAAGGGCTCAGTGTGAGGCCAGGTGAACAAGGAAGCTGAAGGAGAGATGGGATTTCATTTTCAGGCTGTCCCCAAGACCAGGGGACCTCAGTTGTCTTGTTAGTAAAACAGGGCTGGTAAGTGTCCGACCTGGGTGCCTTACAGAATCTCTGAGATCTGCCCCAGAGGAAACGAATGGAAGCAAATGCCCCTCTAGAGGCTCCCTTCTGCAGGGATCCAAAGACATCACCACTTTCTCGGTGTTCAAAGCGCAGTGGGACACTGAAGGCACTGACAAGTCCTGCAGGGAGGTGAGAAAACCTCATTGAATCTGTGCAAACTTGCTAAAGCGAGGTTGGCCCCCCCTCCCGGTGCAGCGGCAGCTAAGGGTATGTCCTGTAACCCAGAGGCCGCAAGGACCTTCCCTAACTGGTTTCCTTACCTTGCATCCCTCATACCCTGGACCATCACCCCTGGAGTTTTCTTCTTGCTAGTATGTGGCACTTGGTGACCTATCTTACTTGTTCATTTGTTTCCTATAGCCGATAGGCTCCTCACAGACAGGGGACATGGACTACCTGCCCACTGCGTGATTTCTGGCTCTTACCAATTATTTGCTGAATGAAGAAATGGAGGGGGTGGGAAAGAAAGGAGGGAGGAGGGAGCCATGCAAGGAGGGAGATCAGAGGAACTGAGTATTCTCAAACTCACTTGGTCACATAACTTTTTTTTTTCCTTTGCCTCACAGAGCTGTTTTAACACAAGGAGTGCAAGTTGGGGAAGATGAGCAAACCGTGGAGGACTGGTCCTGTTCCAAAGGGAGGTGTTTGCAGGGGGACAGGCAGCCACAGCCCACCCCCCACCCCCCCAGCTTTAGCTCTGGTCCATTTATTCATTTCCTTGTTTTTATTTTTTCAGCTTCTTACCTGCCCCTAGAGGTTGACACCCTGATTGCACATTCGCGCGGGACACCTCACGGGGCCCTGTCACCGTTCTGCACCCCAGCCTGGCCCAGAGTCTGCCATTGGCACCTCAAACCCACCAGAGCGTTTGCTCTCAGCCCGTCTGCCTCCTCCTGAGCTGCGGGTCCTCAGCGTCAGCAGAACAGCCGGGCTACGCTGCAGAGTCCGCAGTAGCGCCGCCTCGGAGGGGAACCGGATCTGAATGGAAACATATGGATCTGAGAGGTGTGGGAGTCTGTCTTTTTTTAAATTGCATCAAACCCTTCCCTTGCCTTGAGAGCTCTACATTTTTCAAAGCCGCTGAACGTGGTGCCAGGCTGCAGTTTGCCTTTCCCCGTTCACCTGCCTTCAGAGCGCCGAAAAATAATGAACCTCCCCCCGCACCTCCCTCCAGCCTGCAAAAGGCAGAAGGAAAACAAGCAGCCGCCTTCCTCCTAACCATTTAACATGTCTTGACGCCTTCTCTTCCCCCATAGAAGGAGCTGGCATTTTTTTTTTCATTCTTCTTTTTGCAAGAGGTGTTTGCAGTGTGCAGATCAAACCCCTTTATTCCCAGTTTCTTGTCGGTTCCTGTGTTCTGGAACTTAAGAATGCCACAGCGGGGAAGGCAAGGCTGGGCCCTAGGGAAGACAAGAGAGAGGCACTGGCTTGCCGATGAGGGGGTTTTCATTCATTCACTCATTCATTCATTCCCACAGCAGGCAAGGAACATTCACCCAGTGCCAGGAACTGTCTTCATTCATTCATTCATTCATTCACTGACTTCCTTCAATGTTCCTGGCATTATGCTGGCCAAGGACACATTTGCAAGTTTCAACGAAGCTGGCTTCAGAGAGATCACACTTCAGCTTGTGGATTTTTAGCAAGTGGAAAGCTAAATCAGAGAAGACCATCCAAAGGGAAGACTTCAAAGCATATAGATAAAAATTGGAGACAGGGGTGGGGGGGAGCAGAGTCAGGAGTTCCAGACAATTTTCACTCGGTCCCTACCAGGGTCCTGTACGAATGCATGGCTGTCCCCATTTTGCAGCATTTGCTGATGTGAGAACAGGCTCAGAGAAATGCAGAGACTGGGCCAAGCTCACACACAGGGAGGAGGGCCATGGGTCCCGTGGGGTCAAAAGTCCCAGGACTACAATATCACATTCATCTCACAGCAGGGTAGGGGGATACTGTGGAGGTCCCCAGCTTCCTCTCATTTTACTTGTAAGGATGTAATAATACAGTCCCCAGAAGAAGGATGGAGTAGGTTTTCTTACTATTCCTATTTTGTAAATGGAGGAGATCTAGGCTCAGAGAAGCTATAGATTTAGTTAAGGTCACACAGCCGTAAGGAAACTAATCTCTCCCTTTCTCTGGTGGGCCTGTGTGCGCGTGTACACACACACATACACACGTGCAAGCGCACTTTCTCTCAGCTGGGCCTCATTCCACCCACAGCAGCCTGAGGACACTTGGAATCCTGAGTGTGGCTTTTCCCGACAAAGCCAGCACTCAATTATTGGGAAGCACCTCCCCTAGCCCTTTCTGGATCCATTTGAGAAAAATAAATAAAGCTGAGCCTGACTCTCTGGTGATGAGATGACAGGGGCAGATGGAGAGGGAGGTCAGATAGCTCGGCAATGCCACTGGTGAGAACAGACAACATTCCCCAATGCTAATGGGGCGCCTTCAGTACCCCCACGCCAGCGGGGGAAGTGCTGGTAATTGAATCTGCATAAGAACCTGAACCTTGGCCATCCTTCCTGTCCATCTGACCTGATTACTGTTTTGTCCCAGCAGCCCGGGCCTCTGGTGTGGCTCCCATAAGATGAAGATGATGGGAATGGAAGAGACGCATATTTTAAAGTCACGCGGAGCCTCCCTCCTGAGATCTAGCTCCCCAGTGGAAAAAACATTCAATAGTTTTCAGGAAAGGCAGGCGCTGTCTCTGCCAGGTCAGCAAAGGACTTTGCATGTGCGTCTCTGTCGAAAAACCCAGATTATTCATTTCATCTTGGGCTGTACCCAACTGTCATCTTCCTTTCCCCCGAACCCTCTACCTGAGATGTTATTTTTGTTTTAAATGGAGATTATTATCCTTCAAACAGAAATATTGCCTCCAAATTTGAAGTAAGCAGATAATGAGGCCACGCTGGTAATTTCACACTGATGACAGGAGAAGCAGCTACCTGACTGACTGACAGTTGCCAGGAGAAAACAGAAGCCTCCGGAATCCCTCCCAGGTTGCCTGGGGGGAGGGGCCAGGAGGTGGAGGTGGGGCTCAGGCGGGGCTGGGAGCTGCTCCAAGGGGGGAGGGGAGGCCCGGTGCCCCTGTCGCCCCTGCCCGCGCTCTGTGGGGTCTTCACCATCTCATCAGACATTCGAGCTGACAACTGTGTGAAATTGAAATTGTGGAGTTGATTAAACGATGTATTTAAGGCTTCGTCAAAGGAAGAGGTGGGGATGGTAGTGAAGGGGGGAGATGGGGAGAGGGTGAGAAGGGAAAAGCGAGGGAATGAGAAAGAGATAGGGGGAATATCAAGAACTGGGAATCTCAAAGGAGAAGCAGGAAGAGGAGGAGGAAGGAAGTGGGAAGAGAAAGAACGTTTCAAGAAGAGATGAGGGCAGAGGGAGAAGGTCTGGAGAGAGTGGGGCCCAGCAAGGAGAGAGACAGAGCAAGACGCCCGGGGACTGGGGGAGGTGCAGGGGGGGCGCTCAGATGCGCTCCCTCAGGCCCCCCTGCCTTTCTCCCTGTAATGTGGGGAGGGTTTATCTCACCAGGAGCAGCCGGCTCAGTCACTGATCTAATCAAATTATTCAGCATTAAAAAACTGCCAAGACATTCCAGTACTTCAGCTTCCAGAGACCCAGCTGGGATCAAATGCTAATCAGCATCGCCACGATATTTATTCCCACTGTCAGGCTGCTGCGTGTTTGTTTTCCGAGGGCTGCATACTAAAGCAGAGGAACAAGATGGATTGGCCAGTGGCAAGGGGATGTGGAGCCAGGGGTGGTCAGGAGGCAGACAGACAGGTGGGCAGGAGAAAGAAGGGTCCAGGAGAGGCACCCACAGAGCTGCGAAATGGCCCCGAAATAGCCCCCTACTAGACACAGAGGAACAAGCCCGAATCCTTTTCTACGCCACCTTTGCTCCATCTCCACTCTCGGGAATCTCATGCCAGCACAGGTTGGCTGCCAGTTTGGACTCACAGAGAATAAGCTCGGGCTTGTGACCCCTGACAGGTAGCTTTCTCTGTTTGCAATTCTGTTCCCACCTCTGTCATACAGGGCTCTAAAACCCACACCGCCAGTTTGCTGTGAACCCTTGAAAGGGAGCCGTTAAAATAGCAGGATCTGGGCATACCAGGTAAAGGCAGGTCTAATTCGAAGCTGTGTGACTTGGCACATGTTCCTTAACCTGTCTGTGGCGCAGTTTCCTCCTCTATAGTCTAGCACCGGTCCCAGAGGCTTGCTTGTTGTGACATTTAAGCAGGTTATTCAGAAAGCACACAGGGAGCGCTCAATATACGTTAGGTGTAACCACTAGCTCTTAACATTATTGCAAGGATTGGTGTGAAATGATGGAGGTGAAATTCAGCAAAGGAACTGGAGCAGATGAGAGCTGATGATAATGGGAGCTCACCTGGAGGCAGGAGTCCTGTGCAGCCCGACAGTCATTGTTTTAAGGATGCCAGCCCCTCACCCTCCCAGGGGTCTCCCCCTGGCCCCAGCCCCGGCAGGGAGGACAGACTTCCCAGGAAGTTCATGGACCTGGGATTCCTTCTCCTCAGGCTAGCAGACAGGACATGCCCATATTCGCCCCTGAACTTGGCACCCCCTCCTGCGCTCCTGTGCCCCTGGCCCACTCCCTGAAGGTCACAGTGAGGGGGAAGACTAATTAATTTCCTTTGTTTTTCAGAGTTTCATTTTTTAAATTACAGCCTTCCCTCCTCTCTAATAAATACTCAACAATTAAAGCTTTTTTTCCCAAAGTGTGATTTCAACATTTCAATGTCCCTCCCCTCCTGTCACCTTCGCTGCCATAAACAGATTCGTAAAAACTGCTTTTGACGCCCCAGCTGCCATTAGCCACTTAAAATCCCGTAATTATCATCCTATCATGGGCCTGTTAACGAGCAGTAAAAATAAGGCCATTGAATATGGTAATTTATTCGTAAATTAGCCTAATGAGAATAGGTTTCAGACACTGTTTACTTGTGGGCTGCCTACGCCTGGCCAAGGCAGCAGCGACAGGAGAGATGTGTGTGCCTGGGAGGGTGGCCTGACCGGGGCAGTGAGCCCATGGGTGGCGAGGCCCCTCCCCAGGGCCCCGCACCCAGGACACAGGATCCTGTTCTCTTTATCAAGACAGTGCCAGGTTCCCATGGGTCATGGGACAGCTTCTCCGCCTCCAGCAGACTTGGCACTGTAAGACTGACTTTTCGTGAGCACTGGGCCTACGGTCAGGGTCACTGTGTTAGGAAGCTCTTACGAGCTGAGTGATGGCAGGTGGATTGCTGTGTCACTATCAGTGTTGTGGACTGTAAAATGGGGTCAATGTGTCAACTAGCGGAGTGGTTTTAAAAAATTAAGTGATAGGGCCTCCCCAGTGGCATAGGGGTTAAAGACACAATGCTATCAAGCTATTCCCAGCCACTACAGCATGGGTTTGATCCCCACCCAGGGAGCTAAACTTCTGTCTTGCCTGCTGCCCGCCTCAGCAGTGTATTTCAGTCAATCCACCTGTTTTATTCCATACTCTCTGGCGAATCCTCTCACTCCCCGCACCTCTGGTCTACACCCCAGTTCTTGTATGCATAAATAAATAAAAAATTAAGATATCTATATATATAAAACAGTACCTGGCACGTAGTAATGTAGTAGGGGCTTTATCCATATTGTTATGGTCATTATTACGCCAGGGCATTAGCAGATGAAAACTGACTTAGCCATCAAAGGTGCTCCTGCTCTAGTGGGTTGAACAGTGTCCCCTGAAAGTCAAGTTTACCTGGAACCTCAGAATGTGGTCTTTCCCAAAAATAGTTTCTTGCATTTGTAAGTAAGCTAAGATAAAGTCGTGCTTGATCCATGTGGCCCCTAAACCCAATGATCGGTAGCCTTATAAGAAGAGACAACACAGAGAAGTAGAAACCTGCACGAAGACAGAGGCAGAGACTGGCATGATGCAGCCATATGCCAGGGAGCATCCAGGCCACCAGAAGCTGAAAGAGGCGATTGAGGCGCCTCTGCTGGAGAAGGGAACCAGTTGAGGATGATGTCAAGAAAAGGTCCTGAATGCCTGGGAGGATAAAAGTGCTCTTTTCTGAGATTTGGCATTGTCCGGGATTTGGGTGGAGGAAGAGTCTGGAGCCGATGCCAAGTGCAGCTATTCAGGTTGTTGACTGCACCAAGGCCCAGCCTGTAACAGAAAGTCCAGCTCCTTGAGGGCAGGAACTCAGCACTCAGCCTGACATAGCATATCTTGTGCATGATTAATACTTGTCAAGCAAATATTCAATGGTGAGCCTGTGTAGGATATTTACAAAGAAACTTCACCGCTCACCAGGGAAACTTGCTGATCTGGTGTCAGTCTGGCTGGGGCCTATCCTACTTGCCAGAGTTCTAGGGTGATGGGGCAAGATGACAGGCCTCACAGGCAATGTTCTGTCTTTCACTGTCTTTCACTGGTGAGTGTGTGGACCGTGGAGCCTAGAGGAGAGCCCTACCAGGCTGGAGTCTCAGGAAGATCTTGCTGAGTACATGGGCTTTAGTCATATCTTCATTGCTCAGAAGGCATCACCTAGGAAGGAAAGAGAAGCTCCCCAACTCCTGGGTCAGGGTACAGCCAAACATCTGTGGCTCTACTGCACCTCCAGCATGTCTGAGGTGACCAAGCCTCGTGCAGGGCTGGTTTTCACTTGCAGCTGGGTTTGGGTTTTGACCCAGGAGCCGTGGTGTTCCTCTTGCAGAACAACAGGGCCCAGGGCCTCGAAGTGCTTACTGAGCCTGAGGCCAGCAAGTTGACTCATAGTTCTGAAGTCTCAGTTTATACATATGTAAAATGGGTAAAATGGCTTGCATCTCCTAATATTTGGCAGGGAATGAGATGAGCACATCAAGTGCACAGCATGGAGCAAGGTGATACAGCTAAGGGAAGCTGCTAATGTGACTCTGATATAAGTATTGTCCTTCTTAGAGATCTAGCTCCTCTCTGGGGTCTGGAACACTAGCAGCTTGGCCGGGTGTCCTGACTTCTCCATTTTATTACCCCTCTCTCCCTCCACCTTACGTGTGCTCCTAAACACCCCAACTAGAACTGACTTAAGACAGATTCCAAGTCTCCAGCCCGTAAGGAGCATACAGTAGTTCCCATGCTCTAGATGAGGAAGCTGAGGCTCAGATTGGTGAAGGGAGTTGCCGAAGGTTTTCTCAGCTCCTCAGTAAGAGACCACACTGCCTGAGTCAGCCCAGTGCCCCACTGTGCCTTTCAATCTGCTCTCAATGCTGCCCAGTTTCATCAGTCACCCCAAGGCCTTCCCAGGGCTCAATGTAGTGATTTCTGTACCTAATCCCATACCCAGACTATCGCCCAGCAGTCTCTAGGCTCCAGTAGCTGAACTGTGAGCTCTTTCTCCAAGCTGGAGCTAGTCCAGGTAAAGCATGGAAGAAGTACTGGATTCTAGTCCTGGCTCGGTTTCTGACCACTGCTGTACTTCAGGGAAGCCCCTTCCTTCTCTGGTCCTGATGTATAAAGGTAATGAACATAAATTATGAATCCTAGTATTATAAAGATTAAATAAAGAGAGTAGATGCCAAATAGGGATTTGTCAGCCACTCCCAGCACCTTGTTTGATGCATTAAGGATGGCAGAAAGCCACCAACTTGTCCATAAATTAATTAAACAAATGTTTATTGAACTGTTTTGTGTTAGATACAGGTGAGCTGAATGGACATAGTCTCTGCCTTGAGGTTCATAGTCTGGTGGGGAGATATACACTATTCTGTTAATTGCCAGGTAGTTGTTAAATTGTACCTGTGATAAGAGGTGAAGTAATAGGAATATGGTGACTTGACAGGAAACGCCAACCTGAGGGGGTGATGCTGGGACTGAAACCTAAAGGAGTATGATTAGGCTAGGGGTTATAGGAAAGAATGCTCTAGGAAGCAGGGGTGACACATGCAAAGGTCCTGGGGTAGAGAG